GGCAACAGTACAATGACTGCCACTGGGTATTAAGGTGAAATCATGGGATCCATTGTCCAACCCTGCACTGTTGCATTTTGGTGGAGTATGCAGGCAGTTCCGGGAGGATGGAGGAATTGATACCAGTGAGTAGCCCCCATGCTTGCTTGACGTACGTCCATTATAAAACCTTTTGGACAATATGTGTCAGTCATTTCAGTGCTACCAAGTTGCAGGAGGAGGTTCCTCAGGACACCATCTGCTGTCTCATTAGGCCTCCCCATTGTCTGGCATGCATGTAGGGCTGAAGGTTCTACAATGCTTTTTTTTAATTGGCAAGTCAAAGGCCAATTAAATTCTTGTTGGTCATCATAATTGACTACAACAGATAATTTCTCTTTGATAGCACAAAAAGGATTTGCACTCATTGGGCAACAAAATACTGAGACAAATGGAAAACCAATAAACGTAGTGAATATCTAAGGAGGAGAAATGTAGATTTACACAAGTTGGAAAGATCTTTGGAGTCATTTCTAAATAACTGCAGGTTTCAAGATTAGTGCTTCAAACAACAATAGATAAATTCAAATAATTTCGATGTGTAACCACCAAAGACCCAAGTTGTCACCCTCAGAGGAAATGAAATTGGTTAGAATGTTCATGAACAACTCAGGAGCCACCAAACACAAACCTGCCATGAACGGGAAACAGCTGGAATATTAGTGTCACTATCCACAGTGAAGTGTATTTTCATCACCACTTATCTAGTGCTATCTAGGGTTGTGGAGGTAGCAGCCCAAGCAAGGATGCCCCCGTCTTCTCAGCTTATCCAGGGGAACACTGAGGCGTTCCCAGACCAGCTTCTCGCCTCCCCTTGTATACCCCATACTCCCAAAGCACCTGCCACAGAACATTCTGAGGGATACTGTGAAATGCTTTCTCTAAGTACAAAACAAATGTAAAATGGTAAGGCAAACTCCTGGTTCAGCATTCCATGACCAGGACAAAAACCTCACTTTTCCTCCTGCATCCAAGAATTAGTTAATAGACACTCCTCTCCAGTACCCTGGCATAGATCTTCCTAGTGGGCTTGAACCCCTGTAGTTGGAGCACACTCTCCGGTCTCCCTTAAACATGGGGGCCACCACCAGGGTCTGTCAGTCCACCCCAGATCTCGATGCAACATTGCAGAGGCAAGTCAACCAGGACAACCCTTCGATACCCAGGGCCTTTAGGAACTCACTGCAAACTTCATAGATTCCTGGCAGTTTGGCCACTAAAGAAGGTATCTTACCACCCAACTATGTCACGTAACTATGTCACGTGAAGTCAACAACAACCCACCCACACTATACCACTTTCTCCAACTGGTGGTTTCCCAAAAATGCAGACGGAAAGTCTGTTTCCGTGCCCTCACCAAACTGCTCCCACTCGTGAGTTTTTGCTTCAGCTATCGCCCTCACCACATTCCACTGGGTATGTCAGAAAGACAATGATTCCATCTCTTCAAAACTCCATCAAAGCGTCTGGAATAATCTTTTCAAAGCCTCAAACTCAACCCTATTGAAAACAGTGGACTACACATAAAGGTCAGTTCTGTACCAGGAAACCAACCAATTTAAAATGGTCAAGGTATTACTTGGTAAGGAGGTTTATATATTTGATCCTGTATGTATAATTTTGACCTTGTGTGAATCTGAGAAAAAACCCAAATAAATACAAACTTGTGCACCAACGTCTTGTTTTTAGAGTCATTAAAGATTTATGCTGTATGATAATTTTACCCTTGAAAAAAGACAGCTCAAAGAAATAATAAAAAGACCATAATTACAATGACGAGTGAAACTTTTGACCACAATTGTATATATCCAACTTGTAGTCATAATCCATAGTTATAATAATATTGTAAAATAACACATAAGGACTAGCATTTTATGAGTACATAGTGTGCCAGTTTGTAGAAGACACAGTGCTGAAGCTACAGCCTTGTGGTAAGGCCTAATCTTGGTTCAGAGTTTCTGTGGGATTATTCACTGTCCAGCTTCTTGAGCTCTGAGGAAGGACTCTCTCTGGATGGCAGGATATCGTAGTGGCAGGGGATGTGGCTGTTTCTTGGTAAATCATATGGATCCTGCCCGAACTTCACATGGCCACTGCCATCTCTTATGGACTGGATGGTGCTTACCGTTGAATCTGAAATCAAAGAAATATCAGTTGGCATAGTATAAGGTACAAAACTGTTGATATAAAGAACCAGAACACTATTTTAAGATGCTTAATTTTAATCATGTACCTCTATTTTTATTTGATTGAACATTTATACAAATAGAAATAAAACGTCTGATAAAAACGCAGAAACAGTGAGAAAGTCTAAATCAGAGAGGAACTGTGGCAATTTGTCTATTCAGTTCTTCTATTTTTTGGGACAATATTTCTTACCTCCACAGGCTCTTGACACAGTGTAAATGAAAATGTCAGCCATGAAAGTATTGTGAAAAACTTAATACAAATCAAAGCAGTTGTTTTTATAGTGTATGTATGCGTAGTATGGTGAGACTAGCGCCATGTTACAAAAATCAAGAGGTTCATGACCGGCCCATGTGACACATGATGTGACATAAAAATTGCCACGAGACACTCACAGCACATGAAAGAAGGTTTTTATGTTTGCATGCTAAAGTTTCCTTATCCCTGATAAGTTCATACATGATAGTTAGAATGTGCTTAATGGTACAGCCACACTAAGTAAAATACTGGTTGGAAACTGGGACAAAAAAGTACTGTGACCAACTTGCAATCTTTCAAATTGTTGCTTCAAAGAGTGTGACCAGGTTTGTGGCCACTCACAGCTGGTTGCCATCATATAAGTGACCTTGCTGTTTGTCATGTTTGCCATGTGCCAGGTTTGCTATGCTTATTCTACTGTAGAAACATGAACAGCTAGAAATGGAGGCTACTTTTTTGTTATTAGCAAAAATAAGCTGATGGTAGCAAAAAACAATACCACCCCCCCCCCCCCCCCCCCAAAAAAAAAAAAAAAAACAACAACAAATAAAATAAAAAAAATAAATAAAATAAAATAAATGAAAATTAAATATTTATTTTACCTGCCTGGTGCACAGATAACTGAAGAACCTTTACAGTTCCAATTATGCTGTAAAGTGATTACTGCATTATATTACTGCATTGCTGAAAAATGTAATGTCAAGACTGTGAAAACACAATACCCTCAACCCTCGACTCCAAACTACAGGTGACCAGTTGCTGCAGTCAGTCACCAAATGTGAAATAATCCAGTGCAATTACTGTACAACCAGCAATTTTGTTCTACCTGCAAGGGCATAGTTCTGCTATTTTCACTCTGAATGGGTTTTTAAAATGTTTATTAGCATGATATAAATCAATTTACCATGTTTTCTTATTGCACATTGTATGAACTGATAACTGATGAATCTGCAATCTACATCTACAATTCACTTCAAGTGTTAAAATGTTAACATAGTGCAGTAGAAAAATAGTGTAATATAAATAATATATTTTGAAGATTACGTCATATTCTCCATCTCTAGTTCTACATAGCAGTTATGCAGTTAATATTGCAGAAAGAAAGTAGACAGCGATAACAAACAGAGTTCAGTCCTCACCAATTTCATAGACATTCTGGTTATTGGTTGGGCTTCTGCTACGAATCTCAGCATATGGTGGATCCCGCCTAGCTGGTGATTTCATTTCCACATAGCCACATTCTGTGTTTTTGGTTATCAGCATGGGAGGATCCTTTATTGTGGCATATGGGTTTTCAGAGCTGCTGAGCGAACAGGAGCTGGCATGATAGGGTGTGCCCTTCATCAGATCTGCACAGCACAGACAAAGGATCCAGTGACAACTGAATATCAGCATTAAAAATGACAGTTCGTAGTTATGTATAGGACTTGCCTCTTAAAGATTTCTCCATGTAACTTCTATCACCTCCACAGGCTCCTGAAACCAAAAAGTGTAAATCAGTAGATCAATAACTGAACAGTAAAAGTAAAAATAATGTGAGAAATTTTACTAAATAGAAAAAATCTTTTATAATATTAAGAGCTGGGGCTGAAGTAGAGCAAAAGTATTCTATTTTTTTTAATTTTTTTTTTTTTTTACCAGTTTTAATGTCAATACAAACACTATGCTAATAAAGTCTTATTACATAACTCTACCCACAAGCACTAGGTATGTGGACTAGTGACTGTAAAGTGACAGTGTTTGTGTTACATCGATTCAGTTCCTATCTGATTCATGGTTACAGAGCAGCTGGGGCTTATCCTACCAATGTTACTCACATTCACACCTGCTGTTAACTTAGAATTCTCACAATAGTTGTGTCTTTGGACTCTAGAAAGACAATGAGTGAACGTACCAAGCAAGATCTAAATTATTTTCACAAATGTTGAATATTAGATCAAGACAAATATTAATCACATAACACTGACCAACTGTCCAACTCAAATAAGCATCTACACAAAACAAACTCATAAAATTGACATATTAGCTCAGACTTCTCTGTTAATATAGCCCCACCTGGTGGCATTAACCAGATATTGTATGTTAGTCACTGATGGTGCACCAATTAACACCTTAACTTACAGAAACATCATATTACACATGTGGTAGACCACAATATTTTTCCACAGTCATCCTAAACTGGTAAAATTGATTACAAATTATAATATAATTCTATCATCTTATGTCTAAAGCGAGCAACATAAAACTGAATTCATAGACAAGACCTAAAGAAATTAACATGTTTTCTTACCTTATAGCTGCTTAGTACACACATAATATGTAAGTGATCACCCAGAACTATACAAGCAAGAATCTACTCACTGTAGGTCAAAAATGCACATCACACAACCTGGATCCTCTATGTACAGCAGCCTCATTCAAAGTGAATGTAATAATTTAGCCTACCCTAGATTGTTCGTGTCTGTCACAATATAGTTATGTGGAGTAGGAAATCATGCAATGTTAATTTTTTGTTTTTTTGATAATGATAACACACACACACACACACACACACATGCACGCACGCACGCACGCACACAGCAGCTGATTATAATATTTGCAATCCACAACTCACCCAGTTGATTTAAGCAGTCCCCATGTTTCCACTCTGCATGTAGTGTGCCAGTATGATCAACAAGAAGAGCACATTTTCTCTGATCCATATTTTTAACATTTACAAAAACCTGGTTGTTCTTCGCCTAAAAATGGCACAAAAAAAGCTCTTAGTATGTTCTTTTACAGACAGTCAACAGAAATTGTACTCTGCAATCTCCTTGTTCTTCTGTCTTAGAGGATTTAAATCTCTACCTTTCCATTTGGACCACGCTGGGGGCTGATGCATTGGGTCAGAGTATGGTAACTAGGGTTGGAGAAATAATTGCTTAGATGGGGCTCACATGTTGCTGGATAACCACCTGAAAAGTTACAGGAGCTGTTAGATACAAAGTATGTCATGTATATATATAATTTCTTCATGTCATTGCTGTCTGGGGCAGTCTATAAAACAGTCATTTTGTTGGTTAAGCTTCACTCAAATGTCGGAGACATCTGTCCCATCGTCTGTTGTTTATTTGCATTTACCATGCATTCACACTTATTCATAGAATACATCTCACATTACAAAATGTGAAAGCTTCATTTCCTCAAGAATCAAGAAGACAAATGTGTTTTTTTCATAATCGCAGTAAATTTAACCTCATAAGACCCGAACTCTTTCATGGCATGCATTTTTAATTTCTCTTTGCTATTTGGGCTGATTGTGACCTGATGAATGTAAGAACAAAGAATTACCTGATTTTTTCAAAAAAAAAAATTTTTGCTTCTGAGAAAACTGTGATTCACATATGAGAACATGTGTTTTTAATTTCAATAGAATAGTGGCAGTATAATGTCCTCGTAAGTGGACATCAGGCCCTTGTAGAGCATAATTTATTATTTTGGTCTATACGACCCAAAATGTGATGTATGTGGACGCCCGGTCCTAGGAGGTTAATTTAAAGAGTACTGAAGACCTTTAGCGATGAAAAACTGGATTATGTTCAGGTGCATCAACTTCACGTGTAATATTCTTGAGCTGCGTATGTGCATGATATTAAACTAAATGGATATAGTTTAGAAAACATTTAGAAAAGTAATAAAGTAATTAAAGTGTATAGAGTAAATGGATGATTGTGGATTGTAGTGCTGTGAGTAGAAAGAAAACTTCAGGACCAAGACCTGTGAATGGCTTCTTTTAAATCTGGTGTGTGAATAGTTTTGACTTTTGATGAATATCAAAAATAATTTTTCCAGTCAAAGTTCAAGGAGGAATGAAATACTATAACAATACTACACATTTTACCAATTTCTTTTTAGCAATTCATGCATAAGGAAATGTTCAGAGCTTTTAAAAGTATAGGGTTAGGGACAGAAAAACACATGTTCTTCTTCAGGCTCCAGGACTGCTACTGCCAAAAACTTAGTCATGGAGTGAAGAGACTGTTCATCCATGACGTCATTGGTACCAACTGGAAAAATTAGTGTCCGAGTAGAGAGAAGTCTGTGAATAATGGCAGAACTTCAATCATATCTGCCACTTTGCCACCATGGAGATAGTTAAGCCTTGATAATACTCTGTGGACACAGATACAGACAGCTGGAGAGATTCCTGTTGTACACAAGTGAATGCGCATGCGTAAGCTGGCATGCAGCCGGTTTCAGTTGCTCCTGTTTTTTTTCCTCCATACTTTTCTTTGTCTCTTACTTATTACATAATTTCTTCTGGGATTAATTAAACATTTTGATTGTGATCATATTTTAAAGTCTACTATCTGGGGCCATGGATATCCACCTCATACTTGTGGATAAAGTATAACCAAGGCTTAAGTGATAGCACAAGAGACCTCAACAATAAATCACCAATAATGATAATTACAGGTTGCTTGTGCTTATAGCCCACATTGTAGACAGAACGTTTGAAGAAAAGAAGAACACTGACTCTAATCAACTGTAACAGTTACAGCAGATTCAAAAACAGAGGTAATTAAAACAGTTTTGCCTGTGTGCGTGGGAGGAGGGAGAGTGTCACTGGAGATGATCATGCCAGTAAAAACAAGTTTTCAGGACACTGTTGGGTCAGTGGCTTAAACTCAGCCGGAATGACTTGGACTCCGGAAAGGAAGGAGTGGAAAGACTCTTTTGAAGTACTCAGTGAACATGTAGCTCACTTAGACAGCTTACTTAACTTAGACCTGTTAGCTGTCTAATTGAGGAGCAAAGTAAATCTTGTCGCAGTCATTGGTTTTACCCCAGGGTTCTTAACTCTTGGACTTTGATTTCTTGTTTATTGTTAAATATTCTCTATTTGGTTTTTGGCTTCATTATTATTTATATTTGTATCTTCTTGTAATTCTTACGGCTTAATAATCTGCACATATTATTGCATTCCTGCATTACTTCATTCCCCCAGCAGAGAATCTCTAATGTGCTTAAATTATGCTGTGACAGAGGGTGCTGGTTTAGCTCAGTACGCTGAGTCTGGCCCTTTGCTGCATCTTCTCGCTTGTCTCTCTCTGCTCCTGCTTTCCTGTCCTTTCTTCACTGTGTCTATCAAATAAAGCTGAAAAAGGCCAAAAAAGATGTTGTAAATGAAAACTTGGCACACATCCTATTTTAAACTGAAACATAACCTCCTACTAACACTTTTTGTTTTGATTCTCTCAGCAACAGACTCAGTTATGTTGAGTAAAGATTAATATAAAACAAAATTCAACATTCATATAGGCTTACTTTAGTACAGCTATTTTATGGACAAATTTGATATGAGATCAGCAAGGACAGTGTAGGTGTCCTGCTTAGGATCATATATTAATGCTTATAGAACAATACAATTGTTGTATTGTTCTCATGATATTGTTCATGCAACATACATCATGAAGGAATGTTTCTTTCATGATACGCATGAAGGAAACATCAAGATGATACTAACATTTTTAGATCTCTTTCTCTACCTGCAGACGTCTATGGATCTTCCAGGAATGGTGGTGCTGTTTTGTGGGGAATTAACTGGTCAGTAGGCAGTGATTTTATACCTAACCTAATATGTGTTGCAAATCTAACCTGCACTGCAGCAGTTTAGTTTCACAGTATAAATTACAACCTAAATTACCCCTTGAAGAAGTGACACATCTTCATAGTACAGAAACCCCAAGGTTAACCTTGAAGTTACACCAAGATAAGCCAAAATCCTGCATTATAGTACAGGGTTTAGGAAAGGAGAAGCAATTGCCTCTGGAAGGCTCTCATTGGAATATAGTTCTGATGTTGGGGTTATCTCATAACCCTGAGATGTATGAGGGGCTTCAACTCTTCAGTGATAAAACAAACAAACAAAACAAAAAAAAAAAACCCAATTAAAACTTTAAACAGCTAAAATGTTATTGCTTGTCACCATATCCAACATGTGTGATGATGAAGAGTTAGAGTGCATTGTGAAAATGTAATTCCTTTACCACATAGCAAGAAAAACCAACTCAACTCCTGCTATTTTAGCTTCGCATAACCAGTGTTCCTTCCCTTACTATGAAAGGAATTTTACACCTCTGGTATTTAACAATATAAGCTTAGCAATATAAGGTTTAGAACTGTAAATCTGTAGTGAGGTTAACCATTTAAAATCAATAAAACAAACAAGGAAAACAGTATAAATAGTAGACGAAATAATGCTGGTACAGCACAATGAGACCTAGTTGCAGTTTAAAACAAGTAAATATGTAAATGTACCTGTTATATTGTAATCAGCAGCAACACTCACAGCAGGAGTGTAAGTCACAGATGGCATGGTGGGCTCTTTGCCCTTCTGCTTTTTCCTGAAGATAATGAAGAGGAGCAGAAGGAAGAGCACAAGCAGCACAAGGATAATGATTCCTGCAATGGCTCCAATCTGGTAAGAGTCTACATGCATCGCTGCACTAGTCAAAGTGTTGAGGCTGCCCACCACAATCACACCAGCTGCACACAGGAGGGGGAGGGAATGTAGAATAAGAGTTAGATGTTTTTGAGTCTGTTAGGTTTAAATGAGTTAGTTTTTCTAATGGAGAGTGATTAGAGAAATCAGTAAATTTGATTAAATTAAACCTCTATAACCTCAATCCCAGAGAAGGTGGGATGCTGTGTAAAATGTAAAGTAAAACAGAAAGCAATCATTTGCAATGAAAGTATGTGCAGTATTTTTTTAATAATATTGCCCAAGCAAAACATGTATAATATAAATAGAATTGGTCCCAGCACAGAACCCTGTGGAACTATGTGACTAACTTTTGAGTAACGAAGACTCACTATTTACACAAACAAATTGAAATCTAGCTGAAAAACACTACTGAATTATTGATGAGTGAAAAAGTGTTTGCCCTCTTCCTGATTTCCTATTTTTTTTGTATGTTTGAACACTTAAATGTTTGGGATAAAATGTAAATAAAATGTAAAAATCCAAAGCTACATGGCCCTGTGTGAAAAAGTGATTGCCTCCTAAACCTAATAACTGCTTGCGGCACCCTTAGCAGCAAAAACTGCAATCAGGCATTTGCGATAAATGAAAATGAACCTTATCGTTATAGTGCTGTGGTGGAATTTTGACTCACTCATCTTTGCAGAATTGTTGTAATTAAGCCACATTGGAGGGTGTTTGAGCGTGAACCATCTTTTTAAGGTCATGTTATAGCATCTCAGTTGGATTCAGGTCAGGACCTCTACTAGGCCACTCCAAAGTCTTCATTTTGTTTTTAGGTCTAGGATAGCACATCAATATGGCCTGTTCCTATTAGGACAGACAAGGCTAATGTTAAGGACTTCAGAAAAAGTAAAATTCCATCTAAGTCTTTGAGTGATAAGCTCATTACTGATTTGCAAATGGTTGTATTCTGATTATTTTACATTTTACACAGCATCACAACTTTTTTGTTTTTGTGAATTAGGTTTGTAGTTTGTGTCATTAAACAACGTTTGATTCCATTTTTACTGAAGTACATTCTCACCTTGGTCACATCGAGCTCCCTTCCAACCTGAATTGCAGTAACACGAACCAGTCATGTGATCACAAGTGGAATTATTTAGACAGTCACAGACCTGATGGCAACCATAACCATATAAACCAGGAGGACACTCTGGAAAACAGAAAAAGAAAAGAAAAAGGTTAATTCTGTTCATCTGGATGTAGCGCTATTTAGGATTGGTTTGACTTTAGCCACGTTCTAAATCAGTATAAGTATTGCAAATAATGGACCATCAAGGATGGTAGGAAAGAAGCTGCAGAACTGCATTTGT